AAGGTGGTTCCTATTTTTCTCTTTACTTGTTCGTTTTATTCCCTTTTTCTTTTTTTTTCTTTTTTTCCTTTTTTTTTTATAGTAAATACCCTGTATATAAATGATTGCAAATGGAATGTGAAAATTGAATAAAATATTTTATGAAAAAAAAAAAAAGGGTGGGGTGGGGTGTTGGACAGAGAGATGCTAGTAATTAACAACTATTTACCTGAAAATACATAAAATTCATCAGCTTGGTAACCTCTGGTTCAAGTACTTCCACAGTTTTTTCATAAATTTCCACTCTATTAGGCTGCTCATTACATTTTACCTGAAAAGGAAGAAAAGTTAAAGAAAAAAACATTTCCAATTTTAAATCATGTTCTGCCATATAAAATGGCTTCATTTTTAAAAACAACATTTTATACTCTTTTTTATTAGTAATAAGTTTTCACAAATATTTGATTTCATAAATATTTTACATGAGTAACGGTTTTTAAGATTGATGAATTATATAAATAAAAACCTTGGTAGGCATATTCTTTCCCTGGAATCGGAGCATATATCTTTCAGTCCCAAGGATCTTATAAACACTTAGGGACTGACTAATTCTTTCTTCTTCTTCTTCTTGTGCTATATCCGTCATCAGATGTTGGTGATCATGTTGGCGATCCTATTTTTAACAACAGCCACATGAAAAAGTGCTGTTGAGTTTTGTCCAAAGCAGTCCCTTAGATTTTGAAGCCATGATGTTCTTCTTCTGCCTGGGCCTCATTTGACTTCAATCTTTCTTGGAGGATTAAGTGAAATGTGCTGTATCTTTTGGGTGTCTCATCACATGCCCAAAATATTCTAACTTTTGCTTTTTTATGGTTTTGATGATCTCACTTGGCTTTCCCAGGTGGCTTACTTTCTGACTAATTACTTTGTTGGAAATAAGAGAAAGCAATATTGATTTCAATGAATTTATTTCTTTTCTCGAGAATGATATTTTTCTGTAACTTTTGGAACTATCAGCAAAGTAGAACACATTTCATCAAATTCAACAATGTCCAATTTATGCTTTATTTTTTAATGGAAGTTCAAGAGTTTTTCAAAAAATGTTTTAGTCATTCCTACACAATGTAGGAGCAATGTAGGAGCACACAGTTGGTCTTTTATGATTCTTATAAGAAACAGAAAATGCCATTGTCAAGATGTGATGCTGTATCTTTTTTTCCTCATTACTAGGTTATAATAATATAAAACTAGTTGGAGGGAAAGAGAAATTCACAAAGATGTCCATTTCCATAATAAAAGAGTCGTCAAATGAACTTGTCTAGGACTAGAGCAGGACTAGAGATGTTCTGCAATATCTCCCTCTTATGCCAGGATATGCATTAAAAGAAAAGTTATCCCTAGATGATGAAGAAACAAATATATTTGCAATTTTTGAACTGCAGCCAAATTTAGGAGCAGATGGGCTGCAAATAAGTGTTTAGTCTGTTGGATCGGCAAACTGAAAAAAATAAATGGTCTTCTGCTCACTGGGGCTGAAAAGGGAAGATTGAATGATCAAGAATGTATGCGCAGAAGCACAGTTTCCCAAACCATTTCTTCCCCACATATCAAAGATTCTATATTGTCAATGGAAGATTAAAAAATACGGAGAAATACTAAATTTTAAAAGAAGCCTTTGTATACTGCTGCTACTCCAGTGTTACTTCTATTTCTTGGCTAAAAGCCTGTGGATAGAAACAATATATAGGGGAGGAAGAAGAGCTCCACCAGATATTAGCATCTATCTGATCCTGGCTGACTTTGAAGACCTAAGCTGGAAAGAACTGGATTATTACTGGTTTATTACTTGATAGAAGGCAGCTAGGCAATTCCAGCTAGGCTAAACTTTTTTGAAAAAAATCTAAAAGCCCAAAAGTGGCAATAGCAAACTACTTCCATACTGCTGTGACATCATGAGGACACTTCATGAGGAGACTGAAAATGGAGAAATCTGAGGAGGGAATCCCATTTGATATTTTTACAATTCTTCAAATTTAAAAGAGTGTGAGTATATGAATGTGAAAAGTAGCAAAAGAAGAGAGATAATAAAACATGATTTTTCTCTCTCCAGAATGATTTTACAAATAGTCAGAGAGGTTAAATTGGGTTGATTTCAAACGCCAACATGGATATCATTCCAAAAGATTGCAAGACAGTTTTTACTTATCCTTAAATCCAAGATTATTCTTGGATTCTGGGACTAGAGAAACATATTGGGAAGGGTCATGATGTTACCTCTTAGAAACATGAATGATATATTTTTGACCATGAAGGCAATAAAGGGCACTTTGGATCTGCTTCATAAACAAAGAGATGTCTAGTTGGTTGGTATTTTCAACTTCTGTGCAACTGAGAAGGGGAGGGGTATGGGGAATCTTCTTTTATGTTTGTCCAATGTATTTCTAGTTCAGTTCTTCCATCTAAACTCAGTGGTTTTAGTAATTATGTCTAAAAAGCCTGAAATTATTAATAGGTCACTGAAAATATTTATGTGTGGTAAATGTATTATTAAGATATGCAATAATACAACCTATAAGAAAAAAGCTCAGAGACTGACCCATTTATAGAAGATCTCTTATTCTTATGCAACTATAAGATATTATTTGTCCATAAGTCTCTATGGGACATTACAGTAATAATCTGAAATTATTCTACCTGCGGGATAGCTCTTGAACAGCTTCTCCACGTGTATAGCATAACAGCATATTCTTGACCTTCTTCCAACATTTCATTCTGTAATAAAACCAAAGCTAATATGTAAAATATAAAATATACAGAAATGATCAAGCTAACAGAGATGAAAAAAATGAAACTATTTTGCATCATTTCTCTAAATCTTAAGCATATCAACAAAGAAATGTACTTCTTAATTAAGTTAGAAGCCCCAATTCTTCCATCTCATTTAAAACCAGATTACTGTTGCAAATAATATTGAGCATCCTGTCAAAAAATGAAAAGGGGAGGTTTATTGGGATGCTGAACTAGTATGTGCCTAAGGCAATATTATTACTTTAAATCAAAATTATTACTTTAAAGCAAACTCACAGACTAGATCCTACTTAAGAAGCTACTTTCCAGAAGATCAGATTACTTGATCATCTGTATTCCTATTCTAACCAAAAGATTCCCAAAATCTCAGGCCAAAGTCTTTCATATCACTTGCTACCTGGCATTCTTTTAAATTGGAGGTGCTAAGGAGAGAACCTAGGGCTTCTGCACAAAACATGTATCATTGCATGTGTTTCTGTCACAACCACATCTGCCACTTTGGACAGAACTTTTTTTTCAGATTTTAATTAAGGACTATTTTATACCCTAAGCAAGAATCGTACCTATACCGCACTTTCACAGTTCTCATAAGTAACTCAACCTTAGGAGTGAGAGGAAAATTTAGAAGCTAATGAAGTTACTGAATCCTGATCCATGGCAAGAATAATGTATTAGCTTATACAGTACATTCCTAAAACTTCTACACTGCTTCAGTGATAAGAGTTGAGCTTATAAGACAGAGACTCTAATCCACAGGTGTCAAACTTGTGGTGTCACGTTGCCATCACGTGACATATCGCGACGTTTTTTCCCTTTGCAGAGCTGGGGTGGGCGTGGCCTGCGCATGATGCATCTGGACCGTGGGTCGTTAGTTTGACACCCCTGCTCTAATCCAATTTTCTCAGAGTAACATCCAAGCCTGCAAGAACAGTATTGCTAGGTATGTCCTATCTCCAAGAGACATTAATGGACAACCATTTGTCCGGAATAGTATAGGATCTCCTGATTCAGCAGGGTATTGGATTAGAAGACTTCCAAGGTCCCTTCCAACTGTGTTATAATGTTACTGTATACAAAGATGAAGTACAGAAGTGAGCTATTACACAAAAAAGCTCTGAGAGATTAATGATCGACTCAGAGTCACTCTTGCTGTCAAGTGGGCCTGCCTTCTGACTGAACTATTTGCAGTTTAGATGTAGGTTTGCTGAATGGGGAAACACCTTTGCCTAATGTGTTCCCGTAATCCTGCACACTGTCCTGGACTTGAATTGACTTCTTGGATTTTGACTTAGTTTATTCTTTGCCTTTGCTTTTTCTTCTCCCTTTTCAACTGGCAGCATTTTATACTGTTTCTAGATATTTTCCATTAACCATCTTTTTCTTCTATTCTAGCATCTCTAATTGTAAGAGGCTGCCCGCTTTGGCCTGAGTAAAACCAATGATAGCTTTAGGATTAATAATAAAACCTGGTATTACATTGCTATCTCAATTGCCAAAACATTTAAACTTGCACTTTATCCCAAAGAACTCTGGTGTTGTTTCCCACAATGCTAAAAAATTATTACAGATCACATGAACACACATAAAAATTCCTAGAACAGATGACAATTGTGTATCATTGCTAAGAATGAGATATTTATAAAATAAATATTATTCTCAGCTAGTTACAAATAATTCCTAAATACATGAAATATTTCTATATGAAGCAAATGAACAAACTTAATACTTTATTTCTTTCTACTACCCTGTTTTGCCGACAATAAGACCTCGCCGGACATAAGCCCAATTGGCTTTTGAAATAACCCCACCCCCCCTGAAAATAAGCTCTGCCTGAAAATATTGCAACACAGCAGCATTCTTGAAGTGACCATGCTCGCAGCCTTCTGCATCTCAAAAATAATAAGACCTCCCCAAAAATAAGGCCACACGCTTATTTCGGGAGTCAAAAGAAAATAAGACCCTGCCTTATTTTCAGGAAAACACCGTATAATCAAGCTCTACCTGAAGGAAATTCATTATGTCTACTGTTGCCGTTGTAAAGACATTATAGAAAAATATATTTACCATACTAGAATGAACAGTTGCTTGTTCAATATATCTTGCAATGCCTGTGACAAATGCATTCCTGTCTTCGAAATTGGTGTCGAAATTTGGCTGTGTGGAATAAAAAATAATCCAAATAATCAATAATCATGAAAAAATGATTCAGCTGTGTTAATCTAGAATACTTCTAAGTATTACATTTTCTAGCGAATATTTATTTTAACAAAAATCATACCTGATAAAGCAATGATGATGGAGGGGGCTCAATGCATGGTTGTTGATCCGGCAGTGGCAATTCCTCCAGGAGATCTACATTGGACAAAGCATCCTCCAGAGTAACTTGGGCAGTCATTCTGATTCTATAAAAAGAAGGCAGATATTTTAAAAATCATAACAGATTATGATGAATATGGAAACTGGCAATCTAAAAAATAGACTCCCTTTTAAAAGAGAAAATTCAACGTGCATTCATCCCAATTCACTTTTTGAAAATAGTTTCATCAAATGTAGGAAGTATTTAATATAAGTATTCACTAATTAAAGATGACAGTCAACAGTCATAGCATGACTATCACATTGAGAAAGAAAAATCATAATGTGTACTGTCCAACTTAAGGAGACTTAATCTAGATTTCTAAAGCTGTAATAAGTAAATGTACCATGTCTCACATAAATATACTAATTCTTACAAATTCAGTAAGAAAAAAGCAATAAACCACATCATACTGTATATTAACGCAATTTGTAAACTACATCATACAACTGCATAGGATAAGTACAAATTTAGGCAGTAGAATGATTACATCATTTTCTCAACTAGCAGGCCAATAAACAATCTAATCCTTGGGCTACTTCTATAATGCAAACGTAGAAAAATGCAATAGTCACCTAACAAATCAATAAGATAAGGTTCGATTTTTTTGCTCAATTTTTTTATTTTATTCAAAAGATTAAAATACAAACTACAAAATAAAGAATTTAACAGAGACAAAACAAAACTAGACAAAATGTTTAAAAATATGAACTAGGACAAAAATATATATTATCCTCTAGTTGAATACTGACAAATCTATTGCAACAATAGCTTCTCCTCTTGCAAAACAGCTCCAAAATTTGCAACCCAATTGACCTGCCATACATTACATATATGAAAGAAAAAAGTTAACAGATTAAACAGACAGATTTAAATTCAAAGCACTCTGTTAACAGTCTGTTTTTGCAATTTACTTATAAACTACACAATTTCTTATTTATAACAAATCATCCTAAACAGTTTTATCTGGTGAAACACCCTTGTTTGGTTCTTAATAATGAAACCCTTCCTTAGATTTTTAATTGGGAACTTTCCCAACAATTGCATCCCATTTCTAAAGTTCATAAGTCTGTGTTGTAAATATCTCTGCCATATCCATTGCTGAATAATTCATCTTGACAAGACAATATTTGATGAGCCTAGGTGAATTAGAACCTGATTTGTTGCTGTCAGATGTGAAGACAAAAGTATTTGGTTCAGTGATGGGTTCCGGATCCCGTTCCAACCGGTATTTGGTTCAGAAAGTATTTGGTTCAGTGATGAGTTCCGAATCCTGTTCCAACCGCCATGCATGTGTGGGGAAGCACTGAAGACTTAAAAGACTGGTAAGGAGCTCAGGCGGGCGGGTGGGCCCTCCGGAGCACCATACTGGAACGGTATCCAGTGCTCTAGGCAGGTTCCGGTATGCCCATATGGGGCGTACCACCTGCAACCTACCACTGATTTGGTTTGGAAAATACAGATCTGCCAGAAAAGATTGAAAGAATACAAATATAATAAATTCTGAGATAATGGAATTGTTGAAGGATGGACTGGACTTTTTGACAAGGCCAACATCAATATCACTTAGACTTATATACCACTTTACAGTGCTTTACAGCCCTCTCTAAGTGGTTTACAGAGTCAGCATATTACCCCCAACAATTTGGGTCCTCATTTTTCCCACCTCGGAAGAATAGAAGGCTGAGTCAACCTTGAGACTGGTGGGATTTTAAATTGCACACAGTTAGCAGAAGTAGCCTGCAGTACTGCACTCTCACCGTTGCACCACCACGGCTCAAACTCAGAAAGTGAGATTTGGGAACACACTGTTCTTTAAAAGACTCCACTTCATTTCCAAGATAGTTTCGTTTCCAGCCTAGGAAGCTTTTATGACGTATGGGGCATGCTTAAGAAGAAGAAAAAAAGCAGCTGAAGGAAAAAGGTGACCTTCTGACTGAGAATTGCAGCCATCAAGACCCCCTCTCTTCTCCACAAATGTCCGAAGATTGTCTTGAATTTTTCCTAGTTGCTTCTTCAAAATATTGGAAGCAGATCCACCAAATAACCAGCTTTGATGGTGAAATCAGCTGGTCATCAGAAGGAAAAAAAGAATCAACTGGGGAGGAACAGTAAGATTCTATTTAATTGGGAAAACAACCTGATGCTTTTAGTTGCTTTGACAATCCTTCTAGCCTTCAGAAATAAACATTGCAAATGTATTCAAAATAAAATTGTCCTTAAACCTTTTTATAGAGGTAAAATTATATTTAAAAAATGTGATTAGAGATCATAATTGGGACCAGCAACCTGGTTATTAAATGAAGCAACTAAGTAAAATTGCAACCATGCTTATAATCTTACTTCAGCTTTTCTTTGCTTTACAGACCAGTGAAGGTCATGAATGTGAGGATTGCCTGTGCAGTATAAGTTATTTTTTCATCACTGTTGTAACTGCCAACCAGTTGCTAAATGAGGCTATTGCTAAACAAGATCTACCTGTATTTCCTGTAGTTGAAAAATGGGAAAATGCAAAACACAATTAATATATTCCCTTGAGAACTGAGAAACCAAAGTGAATATGAATATTTATAAGTACCTTCAGAATAAATGATACCTTTCAAATTCTAACACCAGTTCAAACCTCTGCTATTCTTCAAGATGTAAGAGAAACTATAATGGTATATTTAAAGTACGAGGTGTGAGATAAAATACAACGTCTTTATTTAACAGGTAACAACAAGAACAACTTCAGAACACGGACAGCGCTCGGCCCGCATGACAGCTATTTATATATGACAGCTGTCAGGCGGCTGGCCAATCGGTGGTCAGTGATTTTCCCGCCAGCTGGCAGGCGTGCCTGGGGCCAATCAGGAGCCTGTGGCTCTGGCCCCGCCGGCCTGCTGCGTCGGGAGGACGCAACACCCCTTCCCCCCAGACAGCACATTGGTAGTCTTTTAGGTATGCCGGTCTTCTGCGCACGGGCTGGGATCGCCGGAGAGAGGGAGTGTCCGTCGTCAGAGGAGGTGGTCTGCCGCTGTGACGCAGCAGATGGGAAGGCCCGGCCCCTGAGTCCATGGGAAAAGTTGAAGGTAGGCTTCCTTCTTTTGGTGGAACTATCGGTGGGCGGTGGCACGGAGCGGGGAACGTGGCTGGAGTTGGCAGCACCGCAGCTGGACGTGGCTGGGCAGGTTGGGCAGCCGCTGGGCGAGCAGGCCCCGGCTGCGGCGGTTGTGAAGCAGAGAACGCGGCTGGAGACGGCAGGGCCACGGCTGGATGCGGCTGGGCAGGTTGGGCGGCCGCTGGGTAAGCAGACCCTGGCCGCGATGGTTGAACGGGCAAGGCGGCTGGTGGCAGAGGGCCCTCGGTAGTCCGGTGGCGCAGCTGGTTCAGATGGCGCCGCCAAAGTCTTCCGTCACCCAGCTGGACCCTATACGAGCATGGGCCTCTTAGCTCCATAATGACCCCGGGCAGCCATTTCGGGTCCCCCACGAAATTTTGAGCGAAGACCCCCTCACCCACCAGAAAAGACCTAGGGGGCTCAGGCAGGGGAACAGATGTGGGAGAGAAGGAGGGATGCAACCGGTCAAGGGTGGTCCTCAGGCGGCGACCCATGAGGATCTCTGCGGGACTCTTGCCGGTAGACTGGCAGGGAGTGGAGTGCTGGGCGAGCAAGTAGGTCCGGAGGCAGACAGGCCAAGGCAGGTGGGCCAGGCAGGCCAAGCCCTCCTTGGTCGAACGCACGGCGCGCTCGGCCATGCCATTGCCAGCCGGGTGGTAAGGGGCAACAGGGGCGTGCTGGATGCCCAGGAAAGCAAGGTAGGAAAGGAAAGAAGCAGATTGGAATTGGGGCCCGTTGTCAGAGACGATGACGTCCAGGATGCCATGGGTGGTGCAGAGAGATTGGAGAATTTGGATGGTGGCGCCGGCTGTGGTGGACGTCATGGGAAAGATGTCCACCCATTTGGACAGAGTGTCCACTACAAGAAGAAAGGAACGGCCATCCAGGGGGCCGAAAAAGTCCAAATGTAGATGGCTCCAGGGGGAGGCAGGGGTCTCCCAGGAGCGAGTAGGGGCGGAGGGAGGCGCTGGCCGAACGGCCTGGCAGGGAGGACACCGCTGGACCCAGGCAGCGATGTCCGCATCCATGGAGGGCCACCAGGCATAGCTGCGGGCGAGGGCTTTCATCGCACTATGCCCGGGTGCCCATCATGGAGGCAGTCGACGACTTGCTGGCAGAGGGCAGCAGGTACGACGACCCGGGAGCCCCAGAGGAGGCAGTCCTGAAGGACTGACAGTTCGTCCTGGCGGCGGAAAAACGGAAGAAACTCGGCCGTGCAAGTCTCTTCCGTCCAGCCCCGCCAAACTGCGTCCAGGACCCGCTGGAGGAGGGGGTCGGAACGGGAGGCCTGAGAAATGTCCGAGGCCGAGAGGGGACACTCAAGGTCATCGGTCAGGGCTGCGACCATGACGGAGGGGGCGGGGTCGGAGACAGGGAGGGGTAGCGGGCAGTGGCTAAGGGCATCGGCGTGGCCCATGTGTTTGCCCAGTCGGTAGACAAGGGAGTAGGAATAGGCGAAGAGGAACTCCGACCAACGGCCCATGCGGGGCGATAGGATGGGGGGGTGGGCTGGTCACCGGAGATGATGCCCAGGAGAGGTTTGTGGTCTGTCAGGAGAGTGAAGCGGCGACCATAGAGGTAGGGATGAAAACATTTTACTCCCGCAACGGCCGCAAGGGCCTCCTTGTCCAACTGGCTATAATTTCGCTCAGCTTTAGACAAGGTGCAGGAGTAGAACGCAATCGGGACCTCGGAGCCATCGGGGTAGGAGTGGCTGAGCACGGCCCCCACACCGAAGGGGGGAATAAAAGAGGAGTAGAAATTGAGGAGCCCCAGGAATGCCTGGAGCTCCGCCTTCGAAGAGGGAGTGGGGGCGGAGGCGATGGCCTCGACTTTAGAAGGGGTGGGGTGGATTCCACGGGAATCCACAAGGAAGCCAAGGAATTCCACAGATGGCACGCCAAGCTGGCACATGGAGTGCTTCAAGTGCAAGCCGGTGGCACGGA